CTGACAGTAGTGACCAAGGACGCCAGCAGCGCCTCGTCTCGCACCTTGACGCGCAAGGACTGGCAGCAGACTACACTCAAGCAGCACTTCGGCATGTACGGCCCACTTATAACGTTTATTAAGCAAGAACGTCATTAAGTACAGCATTTTCAGGGTTTCGGCAGTTTCCGACAGTTTCGCGAGCTTTCGCAGAAGGGTCCAGAAATCGGAAACTATTTCGGCTAACGCAGTACAGTTTCGGCCCGAGCCCTGGGGGAGAGCAATTCTTTTGACTGCCCCGGTCGCACAATTCCTGTGCTTCCCTAATTCGACACCCTGAACAGGCCAAGTCTGACTGTCCGAATGTCCCTGCCAGGCCAATTCGTGTCCCTGTCAGGCTAATTCTGACTGTCGGAATGTCCCTGCCAGGCCAATTCGTATCCCTGTCAGGCTAATTCCGACTGTTGGAATGTCCCTGCCAGGCCAATTCGTATCCCTGTCAGGCCAATTCAAGGGCCTGTCCCGGCAATCCAACTTGTCCCAGGTGTAGACCCCGTGCCAATTTCAACCCTTCTACCGAGCAATTTAGACCAATTGCAGGGTCTGCCCCGAAACTCTCAGGCACGCATTCAGAATCGCGGGAGCTGAAGGAACTTTATGAAACACGGGAAGCACTTACAAATATCTCTCGTGTGTTTGTTGGGTTCAAATCCGTACATGCATGTACGGTAACAAGGCGTGTGGGGCTCCTGCCACTTCCTGCCCCAGCCACTTCCTGCNCCATGTGGGGGAGGAAGTGGCAGGANCCCCACACGCCTTGTTACCGTACTCCGTACTCATTCACCCATACATTCATTGTGTGTATGTGTGTGTGTATGTGTAAAAAAGTTACCATCACCCGAACCGACCAGAACCAAAGGTCTGTCTGCATGGCAAGTCGCTCACAATTTTAACACCCCAGATATTCATTCATTCATTCGTTCGTTCAGACAAACAGACATATCCACACGCCTCGTCTTGCACCGTGCTTCAGTCCTGCTAAGGGCCCCCGGCACTCGACAAGACTACATGTGTTCAGAAAGATACCACCACCCGAACCGAACCGAACCACGGGCATGTTAACCACACCTTTCATTCGTTCATTCATTCATCCGTCCAATCATTCACGCAGACAAAGAAATGTAAACACGCGCGCCTGCCCTGCACTGTGGTGTGGCCCGGCACAGTGTAGCACCCCTTTCATTCAGTATAAAAAGGCCTCCTTTCGAGTGCTTTTGATTCGACGCCCGGACTTAGGGTTTTGGTAAACCCTAAGCAAACATACATAGCAATCAAACAAAGCGACACGATGGCAATAACGACAACACACGTCATTTGTTGCGTGCGTGTGATTGTGTTATACTTCCAGCAGGAAGCGCGCATGGCTGGACAAACTACTCCTAGACAGCAGGAACATACCTTTACACGCAGCCGCAGCCACCTTTTAACGACCACTCATGCAAAATGTGTCTGTTGGCTTGCCATAAAAAGCCTGCATGAGGTACGGACTAGCTTTTAAGGCCCTCATGGGTTACGGCCGTAAGTCTTGCGTAATTCATGCCGTAGCTCATGGGGCGGAAGTGTACGTCCAGTTAGGTTCAGTCTAGAACCTCGCTGTCCGTCGAAATTTCGACGGACAGCGAGGTGGGCCAATCATTGATACACAGGACTATGAATAACATGATGAGATGAAATGCAGTGAAAGCGCTAAGAAGGTGTATTGAATTTTATGGGTTACGGCGGAAGTACAAACACTTAGGGTTTTAGGATTGCGGTGTGGGAGTTCCTGTGCTCGTCTATCCTGATGTACGGCCAATGTGAGTCGCGATCGCCAGCCGAAGACATAAGGGAAACATTACATAATATTTTCCATGCGGGAAATATTCAA